GATGCTCGTGGTCCAGTAAACATGCATATGGATGGGGATTCATCAAAGGTAGGTGGTAGTACAGCCCATAATCTTAGGAGTGTAGACTATGAGAAATTTGATGACATGTTTGCATATGCTCAACAAGAATTGTATCTAGGATGCACCAACATCTCAATCCTAGAGTTCATAGTTAAATTGTTGCATATAAAAGCCATCAGTCACATGACTGATAAATCATGTGACTTGATAATACAGTTGATAAAAAGTGTGTTGCCTTAAGGATCCAATCTCCCCGAATCCTACTACGAAGCTAGAAAAATTATGCAACAATTAGGCTTAGGCTATGAATCAATACATGCATGTAGGTTTGATTGTGCATTATTTTGGNCCTAATTATTTTGTTGTAAAAGGTTTTTGAGGATCTTAAAGTTGACTTGAAGACCGAGGCTAAGAAGACTGCGGGCACCACAGCTACTACAACCATAACAAAAAGGTATAAGTTACATAAATTGATATTTAATTAATTTATTGATCGTTTAGATCCATTTACATTATCACTAGTACTATATTCTTTGTATGGATGAATGTGGTTTAATTGGGTTGATTATTGTCTTTGTGATAGAACATATTTATGATACTGAATTTATGTTTTGTTTGCGAACCTAGAAGGTCGTAATGGATAGAAGATGGATTTGGTTGTCTAATAGGCTGTGCGATGAATATATTCAAGGAATTGACTCTTTCATAGACATTGCAAAACAACATTTGGATAGTGAGGGTAAAAAAAACTACCCATGTAGATCTTGTTTGAATACAAGATCACATGATATATACACCATTTAGCTACATTTGTATAGACATGGGTTTTCAAGAAGTTATGATGTATGGACTTTTCACGGGGAACACATGAATGTTGGAACCATATTTGACGTCATGTCTAGCGATAAAGTGGACAATGAATATGAAGATGATGATGACATCATGGAAATGCTTAATGATGCTCGTGGTCCAGTAAACATGCATATGGATGGGGATTCATCAAATGTAGGTGGTAGTACAACCCATAATCTTAGGACTATAGACTATGAGACATTTGATGACATGTTTGCATATGCTCAACAAGAATTGTATCCAGGGTGCACCAGCATGTCAATCATAGAGTTCATAGTTAAATTGTTGCATATAAAAGCCATTACTCACATGACTGATAAATCATGTGACTTGATAATAAAGTTGATAAAAAGTGTGTTGCCTAAAGGATCTAATCTCCCCGAATCCTACTACGAAGCTAGAAAAATTATGCAACAATTAGGCTTAGGCTATGAATCAATACATGCATGTAGGTTTGATTGTGCATTATTTTGGAAGGAGCATGCGAATGCTGATAAATGTCNTAGAAGGTCACAATGGATAGAAGATGGATTTGGTTGTCTAATAGGTTGTGCGATGAATATATTCAAGGAATTGACTCTTTCATAGACATTGTAAAACAACATTTAGATAGTGAGGGTAAGACCCGCTGCCCATGTAGAACTTGTTTGAATACAGGATCACATGATATACATACCATTCAACTACATTTGTATAGACATTGGTTTTCAAGAAGTTATGATGTATGGACTTTTCACGGGGAACACATGAATGTTGGAACCATATTTGACGTCATGTCTGGCGATGAAGTGGACAATGAATATGAAGATGATGATGACATCATAGAAATGCTTAATGATGCTCGTGGTCCAGTAAACATGCATATGGATGGGGATTCATCAAAGGTAGGTGGTAGTACAGCCCATAATCTTAGGAGTGTAGACTATGAGAAATTTGATGACATGTTTGCATATGCTCAACAAGAATTGTATCTAGGATGCACCAACATCTCAATCCTAGAGTTCATAGTTAAATTGTTGCATATAAAAGCCATCAGTCACATGACTGATAAATCATGTGACTTGATAATACAGTTGATAAAAAGTGTGTTGCCTTAAGGATCCAATCTCCCCGAATCCTACTACGAAGCTAGAAAAATTATGCAACAATTAGGCTTAGGCTATGAATCAATACATGCATGTAGGTTTGATTGTGCATTATTTTGGAAGGAGCATGCGAATGCTAATAAATGTCCTGTATGTGATGAACCTAGATATAAGATTAATGATGGAAAGGGCAAAAAAATTGCACATAAGGTTCTACGTTACTTCCCATTGAAACCTAGACTCCAACGACTCTTCATGTCAAGGCATACAGCTGAAGATATAATGTGGCATAAGGAAAAATGATTAAATACAGAAGATATGTTGAGGCATCCTGCTGATTCTGAATCTTGAAAGGAATTTGACAAGACATACCCTTCATTTGCATAAGATACTCGAAATGTCCGGATGGGTATTACAACTGATGGTTTTAATCATTTTGGGAACATGAGTCTATCTTATAGCATGTGGCTAGTGGTTCTTGTCCCTTACAATTTGCCTCCATGGAAGTGTATGATAAAGCTCGGGGGGAACGTTTTCGTTTACATGCCGCTGTCATCTAGTCAATTAATGATTTTCCTGCCTTAGACAATTTGTCTAGATGGAGAACCAAAGGCTATAAGGCTTGTCCTGTATGTAATAAGAATACTTCATCCCAATTGTTGAGAAGTAAAATATGCTACATGGGACATCGGCGAGTCTTGTCTCCAGATCATCGGTGGAGGCGAAGCAAGCAATTCGATGGGAAAAGAGAAATTAGATCTCTGCCGAAACTATATTCAGGGGATGAAATTCATGAACAACAATCTCATGTGAACGATGTGCATTTCGAGAAAAATATATTATTAGTTGATAGAGGTAGAAAAAGGAACCATAGTCCTGGTGCATCAAATTGGACAAAGAAAAGTATATTCTTTGAGTTGGAATACTGGTGTAAACTTAAAATCAGACATAACCTTGATGTGATGCACATTGAAAAAAACATATGTGACAACATCATTGGTACATTATTGAACATGGAAGGGAAATCAAAAGATACTGATAAAGCTAGACTGGATTTGGCTGATATGAACATACGCGCAGAGTTACATTTGCAACCTCATGGTGATAGATATTTGAAACCACAAGCATGTTATACTCTTACATTAGATGAGAGAAGACAATTTTGCCAGTTCCTGAAATCAGTGAAGTTTCCAGACGGTTATGCAAGTAATATCTCCCGATGTGTCAATGTGAAAGACGGCAAGGTTCATGGGTTAAAGAGTCATGATTGTCATGTCCTGCTACAACAACTGCTGCCCGTTGGAATACGTCCATTTTTGCGTCAAGACGTTTGTACTGCACTTGTTGAGTTGTCCTACTTTTTCCAACAAATATGTGCTAGGACGTTGTCTGTAAATGATCTAAATAGATTGGAACAAGATATAGTCCTAATTCTTTGTAAGCTTGAAATGGTTTTCCCTCCTGCATTTTTTGATATTATGGTTCATTTGGCTATACACCTTCCATTGGAAGCTAAATTGGGTGGTCCAGTTGGATATCGGTGGATGTATCCAATTGAAAGGTTTTTGGGAAAATTGAAAAAATATGTTAGAAACAAAGCTAGACCGGAGGGCTCTATTGCGGAGGGTTATTTGGTGAATGAAGCACTAACATTTTGTTCAATGTATCTGTGGGGAATTGAAACTAGATTTAATCGAGTAGAGAGAAATGATGACAGTTTGCATGGACAACCAGAAGGAGTATTATCAGTTTTCTGTCAAAAGGCTCGTCCATGGGGTTCAAGGAAGTTAATCGAACTTCCACCAGATGAATTGCAAAAGGCTCATTGGTACGTCTTGAACAATTGTGAAGAACTGCAACCTTTTCTAGAGTGAGTCCCTTTTTAAGTTTAGTTGAAACCTGTTGACAAACAAATGTTTTAAACTGTATATAAGTTGAGCATTATAACCATAATTGTCTCTTTTCTTTATGTAACAAACAGAGAACACTTAAAAGAGTTGGAGGCCCTAAATTGTGATAACATATTCAAAACACAAGAACAGTTATTTCCTAAATGGTTTGCAGATCGTGTAAGTATGCCTTAATCGTTTATAAAACATACAAAACAAGGTTTAATATGTTTTAGGTTATGCTTAATGATTTGGAATTGATGTTTTTGTGTAGATGAACACCTTGCATGTTGACAGGTGCAATGATACAACTAAGGAACTGTACTTCTTATCTTGTGGTCCTGATTTTCGTGTTAAATGTTATAACAATTGTATTGTCAATGGAGTGCGTTTCCATAACAATGATCAATCACATTGTCGAGTTACCCAAAATTGTGGAGTGATGGTGCCAGGGGAGCATGATGGTGATCCAATTGATTTTTATGGTGAATTAAGTGGTGTGTTAGAGCTAAATTATGTTAATGGGTTTCGGGTTATGTTATTCAAGTGTAACTGGTTTGACACTGATGCAAAAAAGAAGAGGATACAAAAAGATTATCATCTCACTTGTATTAATGTTGGGAAATTGTGGTATGAAAATGATCCTTTTATACTTGCCATTCAAGCTCAACAAGTATTCTATGTTGATGATTACAAACTCGGGACTAATTGGAAAGTGGTTCGAAAAGCTCAACATAGAAACCTATGGGATGTACCAGAGATGGATAACACAAATGAAGAAGAGGAGGATATTGTTCCTGTTCAGGAAGATGAGTTTGACAGGGGACATTTCATTAGACATGATATTGATCCTGACTTGGTTGATGCAACAATTACACATGTTGGAGCTGAAGTGGTGGGAGATGATGCCAATGCTGATGTTGAAGAAGAAGATGATACATTGATTGATTATTGTACTGATAATGAATATGATTTAATGAGTGATTCTGATAACAACTTCTGATGGTATGCTTGTATGATTATATGTACTCTTTACTATTTTCTGAATGTGTAAATATAGTTAATGATCTAATGTCGTGAGATTAATTGTATAAATTGACATATATCTTACCTGGTACAGTTTCTCTTATGTTGATGTTTGCAGATTCCGAAGATGGCTCCTGGTAGAAGAAGGACCGTAGCTAGACGTGCAAATGTTGTTCAAGAGAATCATAGTCTTGTACCGACACCTGAAATTGCTACAATCACTGGTAAAGTTATGATATTGGTCCATATAAGCATACTGAAATATATACTTGGATTTTAGATATCGAGTACAATGTTTGTTTAAAATTTAAGAATACATTTTACTTTACCAACATGTAAACCGTCCTTGTGATAACATAGTATTAACTGTTGATGCATTATTTTGATTTTGTAGAGAATATAGTGGCGAAGAACGTGAGAGGGAAGACTAGAGGAGTTGGATGTGAAAGACTCCTACAAACAGCGCAGTCAAAGTTGCATGTAGACTTTCAGAAAGAAGATGGAGTACCTACTGGAGTAAATGCATCAAAGTTGAGTACTGAGGTAGGAATAGTTGCAAGGAACTATGCCCCCGTAAGAGTGCTTACTTGGAAGAAAGTTCCGTACGATGTCGAAAAACAAATGATTGCTCGGATCACGGTAATGTAGTTTAATATCATTATCCATATTGTCATACTTCCTTATGAAAATAATATATAATACCCATATAAGTTTAATGCATGTACATTATTGATGAATTTAGACCAAGTTTGACATTGATGTCACGGAGCCCCATGTACTGAAATGGCTGAAGCACAAATTGTGTAAGAGATTCAACAGCTTCCGGAGTGCCCTACACAAGAAATTCAAAGCATATGCTACTAAGGAGGAAGCATTACAGAATAGACCAGAAGAAATTAAAGATCCTGATGATTGGATATATCTTTGTGACCTTTTTTCTAGTGAAAAGTTTCAGGTAAGGTTAACATGGCTTTTAATGTTATTATATATGTATTGTATTTTAATATTAAATTTTGTGGTGTTAGGCACGGTCAAAAACTTATTCTGAGAACCGGTCGAAGATGAGGTGTAATCACCGCGGTGGTTCCAAGAACTTTATCCAGCACAAAAAGGAAAAGGTATTTAATATGATTCACCTATACAAATATACAACTTTGTTTTCCTGTTTACTAATTTTATTTCAATTTATGGTCAATTTAATATGAACTGTTAAGGCACACCAACTTGGGGAATCTGTCGGTCCTATACAATTATTTCATGACACTCGTTGGAGCGCCGAGAAATGGTGGATTAATGAACAAGCAAGAAAGCTATATGTAAGTTGATCATCTTTCAATTATCGATATAAGAAATGTCTTACCATTCAATTGGGTATAAATGTATTGTTTTTCTGTAACTGTTCCATACTGCCATGCTTTTATTGTTTTAATTTGAGTCTCATTGCATTTCTCTGTCATCTTTTGACCTGCAATTATGTTGCCACTTGTGCATTTTTTTGATATTGGCATTTAGTTTTCCTGAGTGTTACCAAACTTTTATAACTTTGCTGTGGTTTGCTATTGATATGTTACAAAAATTGTAGGATAAGGCTGAAATTTAACTTGTGTTATATTGTTTCTCTTGATTGAACTTAACAGCTTGCTGTGGTTTGCTATTGATATGTTACAAACATTGCATTTCTCTGTCATTTTTTGACCTGTAATTATGTTGCTGCTTGCGCATTTGTTTGATATTGGCATTTAGTTTTCCCAAGTGTTACCAAACTTTTATAACTTTGCTGTGGTTTGCTAGTGATATGTTACAAACATTGCAGGATAAGGCTGAAATTTAACTTGTGTTATATTGTTTCTCTTGATTGAACTTAACAGTTTGATGTGGTTTGCTATTGATATGTTACAAACATTGCACTTCTCTGTCATCTTTTGACATGTAATTATGTTGCTGCTTGTGCATTTGTTTGATATTGGCATTTAGTTTTCCTGAGTGTTACCAAACTTTTATAACTTTGCTGTGGTTTGTTATTGATATGTTACAAACATTGCAGGATAAGGCTGAAATTTAACTTGTGTTATATTGTTTCCCTTGATTGAACTTAACAGTTTGTATTTTTTAAAGCAGAAAGTTGGAGTTTCTTCTAGTAGGAAAAACTTGTTTCATGGTTTATGTAGATATTTCAAAGTTTCTTCTAAGCATTTTTGCGTCAGTTGTCATCCATCCTAGGGACATGCTATAACTAAAGGTGCAATTTTAGGAGCCTTTAAGAGCATTTTTATTTTCATGGATTGATTGTAACGCCCCACTTGAGGTACGTAGTTAAGATTTGATGAATGGCTTGAATGTTTATTGATTTATCATTATTTGAGTCTGTATGTTGTTAATATTGTTTGGTTGACCCTTGGTTGAAAGGGTGTATTGGTTTGGTTGAGTGGTTGCCCTGAAAATTGGTAAGACTTGGCGAAATCTTAATGTTATAGTCTTCGCCGGGGAGAAGAAGAAGCTTTGCTACGGCGATCAAGTGCTACAACCCCTGTGTTGCTGCTGTGAGTTTTCGTCGGGGCGAAGAAATAGCTTCGCCGCGGCGAAGACTCGACTAATATTCCCTTGAGTTTTTAAAGAATTCTTCCTTTTGGGACTTAATGACCATTCTACCCCTAATTAGCAGGAAAAGTGTGGAGTGAAATGCAAGGAAATTGCATGGAGAATAGTTTGAATGGGGATGTTTTTGCAAATAATTAAAGGGCATAGGTGGAATTTCAAATAAGGAGTAACGGTATATTGGGAAAGAGTGGAGAAAATATGAGATATTAAGAGTTTAGCTTTAGAAACCCTTTCATTCATTCTTCTCCACCGCCTCTTTCATCCTTCAATTCTCTCAAACTTTCATTCAATTTTCCAAGGATCTTTGAAGAGCTTTTGACTAGAAATTGATACAGGTTGATCCTAAGCACTTAAAGGTGAGAATCCTTACTCTAGATGTGAATTTTATTGTTGAAAGAGTAGGATCCTTATTGAGTTTGTGTTGAAGGTTTAAGAGAAAGTATCAAGCCATCAAGAGTAGAAAGCTTAAGTGGATTCTACTTGAGCCTAAGGTAAGTAAATCCACCTACATGATTGAGCTTTATATATGATTAATGCTTGGATTTTTATGTTTGAAATGAGTTGATGAATTTATGAATGAGTTTAATGTTGATTTATGGAGAAATTTCCACCATGAGAAAGGTGGAATGTGTTGATAAATTGTGGTAGAAGTATGGATAGAATTAGAAGAATTTAAGAGGAATATTTAAAATGTGTTTTCTTTGCAGGATGTGTGATAATGTGAAGGGGTTGAACTCCAATTTTGGATGGTTAAGAAAGAAGTATAATTAATATTAGAATAGAGTTTATGTATGCACACATATTGTTTGATGAAATGCCTAAAAGAAGCATGAGTAGAAGTAGAGAACCTTACTTTATGCAACATAGCATAGTTGCATTTCATGAATGCATATAAGAAAGATTCTAGGCATGAGCCATCCATATGCATATGTTTAATCGAGTAATCATATAAGAAAGAAATATGAGAAATGAGAAAGAAACACTCTAAGAATAGAGATAAAGAAGAGAACTAATTCTCTTAGAATAAAGAGAAAGAAAGAATTAGCACTAGAGAATGAAATGAATATCAAGTGCTACAGAAAAGAAAAGAAAATAGGTTGTGCGATGGGGAACCCATGAGTGTAGAGTTACTCGCATGTAAACCGCCATGAGAGAGAGCGGTCTCCGCCATGAGAGAGCGGAATGAGAATGAGAAAAAGAATTTGTATAGCCGTGAGAATACATGTGGATGAGAGCTATACACGAGAGAGAGTACACTCACATGGTCAAGGGTTCCAAATCCATGCATCGACCAAGACCAATCGGCAAAGAATAAGAAAGAATAAGACTAAAAATAAGAGAAGAATAGAAAGAAAAGAAAAGAAAAGAAAGAAAATGCATTGTTATGCTTTAGTGTCTCATCCATGCATGGTTATGATATTCTCCATCGGTGATGAGAATAGAAAGAAAGAAAAGAATAGTGAGAACTAGAAATAGAGAAAGAACAAGAGAGATTGCATTAGAGAAAGTAACAAGAGTACGAAAAGAATTGATGAGTAATGCACAGGGATTATAGAGTAGAAGATTTACTTACTGAGCATCTTTGTGCTCACTCTGTTGTTTTCTATGTTTTACAGGACATAGGTGAGGACGTGGTCGGATGGACATCGGCAAGCGGGGAGACTTGGCTGCACTGTCTACTGTTTTTAAGAGTCTTTTTGTACAAATGATGTTGTACTATGTAAAGAATGTATTTATTAAGTAAAGAAAATTTTTGGGCCCAACCATTTTGATAAATATACTTGTCTTTTTATTAATATATTTTACGAATATTATAGTAGAAAGAAGTTGTTACAATTTTTGGTATCAGAGCAGTGATTTTGGGATGGGACAGTGTGTCATTCTTGCCACTACGACGTGTCTTATCTGACCACTGTAAGTTAAATTCTTTCCTTACTAGTGGGTTATTGAAGTTGATGTGAGAATGGTTGTTTTGTAGAGGAGACGTAGTAATAGAAAGAAGGGTAAGTGTGTGATGAATGAGGAAGAATCCTCTAACCCGCCGGAACAAACTCCCCCTACCTTTGATGAGACAAGGATTCGAACTATTATACAGCAGGTGTTAGCGGAGAGTCAGGGGAGAGCTGTACTAAAGAGAACTGAGACCCCTAGTAGAGTACCGCCCGCAAGGCAAGAGCGAGAAGGGCCAGCACCTCAGACAGTATAGAATCGAGTTGATCCGATTCAGGGGCTTGCAAGTCAGCACCGGCCAACAGAGTTTAGGGGTACTAGGGACCCGTTAGAAGCAGAAGAGTGGTTTAAGTCCGTTGAGCAGACGGTGGCCCTGTTTCCCATGAATGATAGAGAGAGGATTAGCTATGCTAGTTTCTTATTTCGAGGTGATGCCCGAATTTGGTGGGAATTAATGGAAGAGACTCATGACACGGCAACTATGACTTGGGGAGATTTTAGAAAAGTGTTTGAGGCCGAGTATCGAACGGTTGACCGGTTTCATGAGAAAATACAAGAGTTTATTAATCTGAAACAAGGGATGAGTACAGTGAAAGAGTATTCGGTTAGATTTAACTCCCTTGTGAGGTTTGCACCCGGGATAGTGAGTACTCCCGAGTTGAGAAGAGAAAAATTTGTTCTCGGGTTGAGGTCAGAAATAGCTCGTGATGTTATGATAGGAGCAGAGCCCCCTGGTGTGCTGTCGTAGGCAACCAAGATTAAAAACCTTCCTAACCTAACTACTGAACTGTAAATAGGGTAAGCAAGGGTTGATCCCACGAAGAGTGTCTAGCCGAATTTTCGATGATGTGAACAAGGCTGGGGGGTTTTGAGTAAAATAGAAAACAATCTTAGCAAAAACAAAAAAAACAAAAACAATTCAAATCGAAATCAATTAATATAATGAAACTTGGTCTCCGTCAACATCCTCCATCGGAATCTTACAACTGATCATTGATGCAAAAGTAAATCAATTCTTACTTTGAATATTCACCGTTGGAACTATTTTCCTATCTCTCCTTAATTGTAATTAATTAGGAAACAAGCGATCTTAATTAATCTTACCATTAAACAACCCTAGACAANTTTTTTTTTTTTTTTTTAAAAAATTAAAACACAACCTAAATCCCCTCCCCCACACTTAAAACTGACATTGTCCCCAATGTAAGATGAAATGCAAAGAAAAGGCAAAAATAACCAAAATTTAAAATGCGAGAATAAGAAAACAAACTCCCCTTGGGTTGCCTCCCAAGCAGCGCCTTTGTTTATTGTCGTTGGCTCGACTCAAGGCTTTTCTTCTTGTGATGCACTGAGTAACGTTCTTCCGTCTCCAAGGAACACATACTTGAGGTAACTAGGGCGAGGCTTCAAATTTGGAACGGGGGCCTGCAAAACAGAGGGTAAAGGCCTCTCATTAGAAATTGGTAATGCAATATAAGGAACGTTACTTGACTGCTGTAACTTCGGAAAATCATGCAATGCTGCAACAGTTTCCTACAAATCAGTACTCAAAGCTAACTCCTCATCCTCTTCCTCAAGAAGCTTACTAATGGCAACTCCCAATCCATCTTTTCCATCAAGTTCAAACACTTCATGTGCTAAAGAATCAACCACATCAATAGAATAAACATGATTATCATCATCATCAGAAGGATATTTCATGGCATCATAAATATTAAACTTGACAAGTTGACCATCAAATTCCATGGTAAATATGCCACTATGAACATCTATCTTAGTCTTGGATGTCTTNTTTCCTTGAGTATTGTTTAGTAACTTGAGTTAAATATTTGGTTTGTGATGCCATCATTAATTGAGTAAGCCCATTATTAAACTGGACTAAGGCTAGCTGATTATTAATTTGGACCAAAAGATTGTCTTGTCACATAACTAATTTAAAATGATATTTATTCTTTATCTTTCTCATCTTTTCTCCTTGAGTATTGTTTAGTAACTTGAGTTAAATATCTAGTTTGTGATGCCATCATTAATTAGGTGAGCCCATTATTAAACTGGACCTAGGCCAGCTAATTATTAATTATGACCAAAAGATTGTCTGCATGTCTGATATTTTCTATTTGATCTTTGATGCGAACCTACCCAGATTCTTTTACTCAACCACACACAAAATATTAATCATCAGAATATATTCAAACAATTCAATGTAAACATCAAGAATCACCAATCTATATAACTACAGTGAGTTGTTAAGCATTACACTCATTCAGATTGATTATATCCCAACACAAGAATAACAAGAAATTAATCAAACAATAACAATGGAAAACTAATACATTGGACTTCGAGGGCCAACTATCTCCCTTTCACTATATTCTCTTCAGATACCCTTTCTCCATCTTCTGCTACTCCTTTAATTCACTCCCTTTTCCTAATAGAATTCAACCATCCATCATTCTCCTTTCGCCACATGTCCATTCCACTTTATCTTCTCTTCACACATTAGTTGCCTTTTTATCACAATTAATCCTCTATTGCTTCTTCCTATGCTTCTTATTATATACCAGCACCTCATGTGTTACACAATTCCATCCCGAAGAAGAGCCACCTTGTCCTCAAGTTGGAAAGAAGGAAACTACATGTTCAGGGCTGTATACTCTTCCCAAGTACTCTCATGGTGAGGCAACCCCTTCCACTTAACGAGGACTTCCTTTTGACCATTGAGTAACCTTCTGATCTTAAGCACCTCCTCAGGCTCAACTACTAAAACCAGGTCCTCATTTAATGAATCTGGGAGAGGTTGCATGTTTGGTGGTGGAAAAATAGTTTTCTTGAGTTGGGACACATGAAACACATTATGGATACGAGCAGTATTTGGCAGTTCTAACCTGTAAGCTGCTGGTCAAATTTTCTCAAGGACTCGAAAAGGGCCATAAAACCTTGGGCTTAGCTTTTCATTGCAAATAGGAGCTAGGGATTTCTGACAGTATGGCTGGAGCTTAAGATAGGCAGATTCTGCCACCTCAAACTAGACATCCCTCCTCTTTTCATTGGCATAACTCTTCATGCGGTTTTGAGCTTTGTTCAAATTCTCCTTAATTTCAAATAAGATACCGTTACGGGTCTGAATTTGCTGATTGACTTCATCCACTGGAGAATTGTGGTCTGTGTATTTCAACAAGGCTGGAGGATCCCTTCCGTATAAGGCTTTGAAAGGACTCATACCTGTGAAGCTATTGTATGTAGTATTGAACCAGAATTCAGCCCACGGAATCCAGTGAGGCCACTGCCGAGGCTGTTTCCCTACAAAACAACGGAGGTAAGTTTCCAAATACCTATTGACAACCTCAGTTTGTCTATACGTTTGTGGATGGTAGGCTGAGCTCATATGAAGCTTAGTTCCGGCCTCACTGCCGAGGCTGTTTCCCTACAAAACAACGGAGGTAAGTTTCCAAATACCTATTGACAACCTCAGTTTGTCTATACGTTTGTGGATGGTAGGCTGAGCTCATATGAAGCTTAGTTCCGGCCTCACTGCCGAGGCTGTTTCCCTACAAAACAACGGAGGTAAGTTTCCAAATACCTATTGACAACCTCAGTTTGTCTATACGTTTGTGGATGGTAGGCTGAGCTCATATGAAGCTTAGTTCCGGCCTCACTGCCGAGGCTGTTTCCCTACAAAACAACGGAGGTAAGTTTCCAAATACCTATTGACAACCTCAGTTTGTCTATACGTTTGTGGATGGTAGGCTGAGCTCATATGAAGCTTAGTTCCGGCCTGCTTGAACAATTCCCCTCAAAAATGGCTCATGAATACTCGATCGCGATTAGAGACAATAGTCCGTGGAAACCCGTGGAGCCTTACTACATCTTTAATGAATGTTGCTGCCACCTCTTTTGCTGTATAAGGATGCCTCAGCATAAGAAAATGTCTATATTTAGTAAGCCGGTCGACTACCACCAAGATGGTATCCACATTGTGTAGTTTTGGAAGTCCCATTATGAAATCCATGGAGATGTCTTCCAAAACCTGAACTGGGATAGGAAGAGGTTGCAATAATCCAGCTGGCCTCAATGCTTCATATTTACTTTGTTGGCACACATTGCATGAGTTAGCATAGGTTTGGATGTCCCTCTTCATTCCATCCCAATAAAACACATTCATAATACGCTTGTAAGTTCTAAAAAATCCAGAGTGACTGCCAATCGGGGATGAGTGAAATTCGTGCAAGAGTTTCTGAATATGAGGGCCCTGTTTTGGTACTACCAACCTGTTTTGATACATTGTTGCAGAGACGGTTAACGGTTAGAATTCATGTTTAATTTCTAGCTTTTGTATTACCGAAAAGTGCGACAAAGCTAAATGTTTTCACTAATACCCCATGCTTGACATTTTTTTCATCTTCTTTGGAGTGCAGGCTTTTCTCTGAGTACTTAGGAATGGACACTATGTTCGCAATTGTTTGCAAGATTTACAAAGGTGATAAGGCTCTAGAAACATACGATAAAGAGGGTTCAATTATTAAAAGTTTTGGTCTTGATGGGCTTGGTGCTTCAATTGGGAGGACTATACATGACCGGTTTCTTGTCATATGTCTTGAAAACTTAAGGCATCAATTCGACTTCTGCTTTCCTTAATTATATAGACTTGTATCCGTAGACATTCTAATTTTTTTTTCTTTCTCCAGACCTTATGTTGATGAATTTGTAGCTAATGATCCACAAAGGAGGCTTGATATTCTAAAGCCAAGATTGCCTAATGGGGAGTTTTCGCCTGGCTTTCTTGGCTTCGCGATGAATATGATTGATGTGGAAAGCAAAAACTAGCCAACCGGAGAATTACCATTCAACTTGTCAGGCTTTGATAGAGATCAAAACAAAGCAATGATCCAATTTGGTTGCTTCTTTCATGGTTGAAGTTGTAGTTAGAGATCAAGACTGAAAAGATGTGCGTTCTCAACAAAACGCACTTTAATTGAATGAAAGGTATCATTTGATGAGGAGAGGTCTTTTTCAGCATCACATGTTTCATCCTTGTGCAGTAACTCAGCATCTATATTTTTGGTGTCTATTTAATTGGTCAGTTTAGCCATGTTTTTCCAACCAATTCAAGTTAATTTTTACTTTGGAATTGATAATCCATGTTTTCATTCATCCTTGGAAGAAAAAGTGAACTTAGCATTTTTGCATAATACATATTCTACTTGAACTTGTTTTTGTGAACAGAAACACATTAGATTTGGGGAACTATAAGAGAAT